ACCAAAACGAACAATAATAGACGACGATCCAAGCGATTGAACAACAACAAGACCAATGACAGTGACAAGGAGAATGCTCCACCCAAGCGGCCCAAAAAGGTCAATTTCGAGGGAGGAAAAAGCAATCCACAAGAGCAAGACGAACCCACCAAACCACCACCCGCCCAGGAGGCAGTCAAGGAGACTCCTAAGAGCTTTGAGGTCAATGAACGGTACTTTGTATCGCACTTTGATGGCAATTACTACCCTGTGCGAATCATTGGAGCTGGCAGCTCCGATGGCCGCCGCTGTGTCCAGTATGAGGAATCCACCATTGCAAAGGAATTTCCCATTGCGGAACTACTCCAAGAAACAGAGGAAATAAAGAGTCAATGGCTATATCGCAAATCATCATCCTCCGCATCGGTCTGCAGCGTTTCCAGCCGCAGCACCCGATCCTCCGCCAAGTCACCCGCCCGCATGAAGTACGGTCCCAACACCAACGTTACCCGAGCGAAGAATTTGCACAAGGAACTCAAAAAGTATGGGATTGAAAATTACAGTGGACGCTGGGTGGCGGAGCGGAACCGAATCGTATACTTTTGCAAAGACGACGAGACTCCGAATCATATCAAGGAAAAGTTCCCTCGGGTGTCGATCGGCAAAATCCTCTACGACAATCGAATCTTATGGGGGGAAAAGCTGCAGGCGAATTCCAGAATGCAGCCCAGATCCCCCTTTGTCTTGCCACGAACATGGCACGGAAGGATGGTCGTGAACACGGCCAACACGGCCAATCCCAACATGATCCAGTGGAAGCGCACACGCAACAGTAGCAACGATTCAACGTGCTAAATGCAAGCGATTCTTTCTCCTTTGGCAACTCGATTCCATTCCATTCCAAATGCAAACAGCTAGCGTGGTGCTCTGTGGACTAGTAGTATCCGTCTGGATGCTCCCCAAGTTCTGCCAGCAACGCGAATGGATTGTCGGTCTCTATCGAGCAACCAGATGCTCGCTGCTGGTGAAATTACTCTTCTCGTGTTCCGTCTTGGCAAATCATCAGGCTTTCTTCCCATTGTGTTTCCGCTCTCTGTATCGGTCTATCATGCTCTCAGTATCTTCTTGGGTTGCACCGATTTGTCTGATCCTATTGACACAAATTGGGATCCGATACAACGCACATTATCTCTTAATAGTATTTATAGAAGGATTGATTCAATCGACCATCAGCGTATCCTTGCCGATAGCTGGAAAGCATCTTTGTAGCTTTCGCCAACATTCACAACTTGAATGTCCCATCCCAGCTTTCTATACTGCTTTTAGCGGGGAGGCTAGAAGGCCATCTCGTTGGTGGTCTCTGGCTTTTTGCTTGCCTCGGAAGCCAAGTTCCCAGGTGTGGAGCAAAAGTATTGGGGATGGTGTTTTTGCCAGGGAGCAGAGGTTGTGCACCCTTCGAAGCCAGAAGTCGAGAAGCATTATCCTTATTATTGGTGTTCTTTCTGTTGCTTGAGGCCTCCATGGTCATTGACCGCAAATTCGCATACGATCAAGCCTACGCTCTATGTGTTGGACATCCACAAATAAATGCATCAAGGCAAGGTCCAACTTTGATGACCCCTACCTGCCGCATGTCCAGGAGACTTGTTTGTTGTTGCGCCTCTTGTGAGGTAAGCACTCTACACTAGCCTGGTGTTGGTCGTGAAGCTGGTGTGGGAAGAATAGTAAGCGCTGGACTCGACTTTCCAGAAGCATCTCAAAAGGGTATGAATTATGCGTGTCTACATGTAGCTGTGTTCTTGTTCAGGTGGCAAATCAACCAAACACGCAATGATAGGATCTTTCCACTGCACCTTTCAACCAGTGCAATGCTGAGCTACGAAGTCGGCCAGGACGCTGCCGGATATGTCCTCGAAGATGCGCTTTTAAATAATGGTCACCCCTGCCCCAAGGACCACAATACCTTGTTGTTCAGTACTCTAAAGTGTGCCCGGAGTTTATTGATGCTTGACCTGCACTTTTCGATACTGTAAAATCGGTACATTTGCTCAATCCTTTCGGCTTTTGGTGGCAATCAAAGATGCGTCCTCCATTTGATACAAGACCAATGCATGCAAAAACAACCGTACATAAAACGCATACAAGCTGGCAAATCGGATGCCCATGAGGAACTCCCCTCCAGCCGTCCTGTTGTTGTGTTTTTCCGCCCCGCACCAAAACTCGTGATCGTCCAATAGGGCATAGCTGGCAGCAGCACCAAAGGTCAAACCCATGCAAACGTATTCCATGAACAGAACAGCTCGGTGCACCAAGGATGGTGCTTGTTCTGTTGCTTTCATTATTTTTGCGTCGTCCTTGATTGCCTCGACAACGGGCAGCCCCAAGCAGGCATCCGCCAATCGCTTGGCGCCCCAAATTCGCACTGATACCTTGCCAGCCAAAATTGGAAAAAACTGCACCAAAATACCCGCAAATATCCAATACTGTTGCTGAGTCAAATGTTCGGTTTCAATTTTGACGTCTTCGCTCCCTTCAATGTTCTTATTATTATTGTGGTTGTTGCTGTTGTCATTGTTTATGCTCTCTTCATGGGCATCCTGCGCTCGGCGAAGTCGTTGTAGGAGCAGCACAATGGACAAGTAGAGGGGTAGCAGCGTGAATGACAGACTGCCAAACATGAGGAATGCATAATGAATCCCCATTGCAATCATGCTGGGATTATCTTGGCACTCCTCAGAGGGAAAGGCAACTGTCACCACGGCAGTACGAAGAAGCAGCGTGATACCCAACATCGTAATGACCACCACGAAACCATTGCTGGCCGTCCAAGTCGTTGCCTCCGGCCGGATTGCCACAGCACATGACAGAACGGATAAGCCAAAGATACATTCGGAAATTGCAATAACCTTTGGTGGCATCATCTTGGTAGCTAGCTATCTTGCCAGTATGCTAATAGTCGTTCTCGTTGGGGGAAGAAGCAGCGACAACGTCGCAACAAAGATGAGGGGTGGTTTTTGTGGTGGTACTAGCTAGTACTACCGGTAGTACCAACGGTGTTGTGGTGCTGTGTTGAAGGACAGGACAAATGATATAGGATTAGTGACTGGAAGGAGCCAATGAGAATATCTGAAAAGTCTGAGGTGGATCAAGTTGCTTCAACCTCACCAGGGCACTTTCCATTTACATATGAAAACAGCTTCCACGACCACCACCCATTGTGACTTGGGACCAACAGGTGAAGACTCGAAGGTACGATTACGCGACTACGCTGTACGAGGTACCACCCGGTCTTCCGTTACCCGGAACCAAAGAAGATATCGGTAGGGTGAGGGACCCAAGCATTGGCAAGCTGGTGGGTGAATGAGTATTGAAGGACTAGATCTATGAGGTGCAGAGGCATGAACAGCAGAGAGTTTTCCTTCGTTTTAGCTATCCTGGCAATCTTTTTCAATTGCAGGACACGAGAGGAAGAATGAAACAAGGCTGTTGTGCTTCACAATAACTGAATTGTCAGTAGACGGTTCGAAGAGATGATATATCAACAATGTGCCTTTATGGAAACTGACAGGATGAGGTGATAGGGTTGAAAGCCTCCGATCCAAATTCAAAATCAAAAATCTAAGGAGACTGTAGCACCGGCAAAGAGCCAACTAATCAAGGTGAATACTGCAGTATCAGAGGGGGGTGCATTATCGTGTGATGCCACCACCTGTGCACCTCGTCGGACTGCGCCCTTAGAGGCACCTGGCGAAACTGACTCCAAAGGTTGTTTCTGCAACCAATAGCTAGATAGTTCAGAACTATCATGGGACCATTTATGGACTAAAACTGGGTCTTAGTCGGCACAACACCGAAGCAGAGCACCACAGTCCACCAAAAGCTCCAGTTGGCCTTCTTGTACTCTCTTGCAAACCTCAACAGGCACTTTCCCCGTGACAGGTGTGCCCATTAGGTCTAGCTTCTTCAAGTGCGAAAGTTGACCAAGTTCAGACGGAATCATTCCCTCAAACCTGCGATTGCTGGACAAGTCGATTTCAAGCAGAGACCTGGCTAAACCAATCTCAGTTGGGATTGTGAGGTTCAAAACAACTCTGTGGCCATTCCCCAAATATTCCAAGTGAGTCAGTAGTCCAATGGATGAAAAAATGTTGCCACCAGTACCGATACCGGTAGGGTTGTTAGTGATATTCATGACCTCAAGGTTTGGAGTCAGATAATTCAACGCTCCACTGTTACTTCCGCGGACCTTGCTACCATCAATCTTCAAGACCTTGAGAGCAGCGAAGTAGGCCCCCGCGTTCATGATGGGAGCCCCTTCCAATTCAGTTTGGGAAACAACAAAGACTTCAAATTCTGGAGTGGAAGTGATCGGTGGCAATGCACCAGCAATCGGATTGTATCCAAGGTCAAGGATCTTCAATGAGGGAATGAAGTAAGAGTACCAAATTGGGAACATCCCTGTCAAATTGTTTGATGCCAGGCTCAAGTTGATCACTGTGTTGTTTTCGCAAACATTGGCTTCATAATACTTGCTTGAAGTGGGGAAGCTGCTCTTGGTGAACCAACTACATTCTGAAACTTCATAACTGAGATATTTCTCATTATCAATCCAAGAGTTACCATTAGTAGCATAGTACATCATGGCCAAGTAGAACCTTTGTAGATTTCGTTCTGTGGGGTAGGTTTCAAAGTTGGGATCCTTCATGACCCATTGATTTGCATGATAGAAAGGACTATCAATGTCCTCTAAAATGGCTGTGGCAACCAACTGGGGGAGGTTGTCATGAAACGGTGGATATTGGGTGGTTTGGTCTTGAGTGAGATTTTTGTTCGCATTCATCGTGCTCTCTGCGGGTTCCCCGCTGGACTGTCCCACAAGGAAGACAAATATAACCACCACTGAAAAAACAGCGCATCCAAGTATGATTGCCCATCCAACGCAGCGGCCTTGCTTGTCTTGTGGTCTCCTGCCTATAAGTTTGCCCTCAACAAGTTCAGCACTGCTTCCTTGATCAACATGCTCTGTCATAGAATTTTTGTTGTCCACCAAGTGGGCGTCATCAATGCGAAGGTCATCATTGTGAACGTGATTGGTTTGAGAGACTTCATTAGTACTTGAGGCTTGGACCTCGGGCGACCGCCTTAGCCTGACATGGGGACCTTCCACGGCAAAGGCCCCCGGCAGGCTTCTGCCTTCCGCAAAGTCGCGTGTCAGGGGTAGCATTTGTATATACATGTGTGCTGGTAGTAAAAGTTCTGGGTCCGTGACAGAGTGTGGCTCTGTGTGCTCTGCTGTATTGCACTGGGAATCGGTGGTTAATTTATCCATCTCAGCACGAGAAGTCACTGGATGAATTGTTATGTCACCAGCTTTGTTGATTAATGCAGGTTCTGGTTTTGATTGCTCGTTGATCTCTCCCCTATTCCTCTCATTCTCCTTTGAGTGGCAGTCTGGATGCTCTTTGGTTTCTGGAATGGTATCCGTCTTGACTTCATCTTCGCTAGTATCCATACTGGCAGTATAGGTGCCCTGGTTGTTCTTGTTCTCGGCGTCTTTGTTCTCCATCTCTGTATTCCTCTGTCTTGGCACACAGGAGGGTTGTGGTGTTGTAACGGGCATGTCAAGGTGGTTTCTCTGTGGCTCTCTCGTTGCTGTTAACACCACGTTTTACACCCAAAAAAAAAACTGGAAAAAGCCTTCTGTGGGCGACGCGTACCCTGTTTTGGTTCTAATAGATTTAATAACTGACGGCGTCGATGACTGTGACTATGACTCTGAGAGGGAAAGCCTGGGCAAACTCACCTTGAAGAACATTCTTTTCTTTTTCGTGATACACTTTGGCGCTTGCGGCTGGTAGCTATCCCTATTGCACTGCAGGATCTGTTCTGTCTTCAAAAGATGTATCACAGAAGTGACTGGTTCCTTTTCTTCCAAAATAATGCTCCTATGATACATTGGAGGCAGAACAAGGGGTGGACAAGGTTCTTTGAGGCGGACTGCTCGGATACATGTAGTATCTTAGCGAATTTCATTCAGAGCACCACCGAAGATCCACCCAGTGGTGGTGCCTTGAGCGACCTACCGGTACCAGTACTTGCTTGTCCCGTATAATGCACTCTATGCTTTGAGTGATGACGGCCCCTGGACTCATTTGAAGTTTACCGGTACTGCCAGCAGGAATCAGTTTTCCAACAACTCCAGAAGACAGTCTGTCCCGAGAGTCCGGAAAGACCCTCAACGGTAACTATGGTCTCCGACTATTTGGCCCACTGCTATGAAGCAGTAAGCAATGAATGAATAAGACGCACTGAAAGGAAGGACGCGACTGCGTACCGGTACCACTAGACACACAATCCTGTTGCGCCGTCGTATTTGAAATCTTGAGAGCAACACAATGCTATAGTCTAAAGTCTACCATACCACGAGCCTGAATCGAATCGAGAAGTTTGAGGAGGAGCGAAGGTCCAGTCGACCCACAAAACTAGAGGGGTCGAGTAGTCTCGTTTACAAATTTTACGGCAGTAATACGAATGAATGAATCAAATCAGCCTCTATTTTCACGCAAGCAAGGACGTTTGTTCCCCCTTTTTCTTGCTTTCTTTACTGCGCCACAACTTGTTCTACATCAAAGGTGAAACAGGGAGCATCTTCCCCCATGGGGGGTGTCTTGCCGGACCCCGGAGGATATTTGTGGGCATACGTGCGCGCGTATTGGAGCATGGCCATGATGGATTGAAGCGAATTGTCTTCTTTGATATGTTCCCGGAGGGCCGTTTCATTGACTTTGATTCCTTCAATGTTTTCCAAACGACGGAGCAAACTGTCGATTTCGTCATCACTAAATAGATTGGATTCATCTCGATCGGAATCGAGTGCCAGATCCATCATTTGCATGGCGGCACTGGCCATGATGAGTCGGGTCATTTGGTTGGTGAGTGTTCCATTTTCCTTGACGAGTTTGACCAAGTCGTCGACATTGGAATCTTGCTTTTTGGTAATATCGGAGAGTTGATTTTCGACATCTCCTAGCTCTTTGACATTGGATTCTAGATCGTCCACGTGTTCCTTGAGTTTATTGTTTTCCAAATAGAGATGATGGACCTTGCGACGGAGTTTGTTGTGAATGAATCGGAGGGCTGTTGAAAGAAAAGAAAAGAAAGAGACATGCAGATCAAGAAAAGATCAAGGAATGGCGTTGAGAAAACCGTTCATCTTTCACTCATTCATTTCTCTTTGCTAGCTATCCAGCTGGCGGTTTGTACTTACTGTGCGTAGGAGCCATGTCAATAATCTGTCGCTTGACCACGAGGAGCCCCACGAGAATGGCAAACGACGAAGCCACCAGGCTCACGTAGACTAGTTCTTTGGTAACGGAAAACATTATGCCAAGCACTGCGGCATTGACTCCCATGGATACCAATGTAAACGTGGTCATGATGCGCATGGCCAACGAGACCTACCGAAAGAGGTTACACAACAAAGAGAAAGAAATGAGATGGGAAATAGAACCACGAGGGAAGAAAGGATGTAGTGTAGTAATAACACACTTACTTTGGCATTCTTGGCCGCCACCTGCTCTTCCATGGATTCATCGTCGTATTCATCGTCAAACGTCTCGGGGGACGGCATGTTTACGTTGGAGGAGCTCATGTTTACTTGAATAAGGGCTGGGAAGGAAGAAAGGAAGGAAGAGGAGGAGATGGTAGCGCGACAACAGAAGCGCAACGAGGATGGACGGAAGCAACCGGCAAAAGATATTGTGGCGAAAGATACCGGTGGCACCCGATGCAAACGCCATGGTCCGGTCTTTTACTTTACAACCAGCAGAACTGGGAAAACACCAATGCCATTTGAATGGTTCTCATTTCTCGTCCATCTTTTGCGGAATGCGAAGCTCCGCACCAAAGTCAACCGAAACACAAGAAAAATCCACTCGACGCCTTGTCGACATGCTGTCACACAAATAAATCAAATGGAACTATCATCTTTAGGTTGCCTCCCGTAGTTAACTTGGTGATCCCATCTTCATCTTCAACAGAATAATGCCAAAGCGTCCAACATCTCCCAGCGCTACTACATGTACTACTGGTGGCAGCACTGTGCTGCACAAGACTCCCATCTTTTGGGTACTGTTGGGGCTGTTGTCGATAATCTTGTTGTTGACGTTGCCGTTCATGTACTCTCAACTGGAGACGATTCAACGAGACGATGATCCTATGCAGTTGTTGGGAAGCAGTGTTGGAGATGGATGGCTCCAGGATGAAGCCGTGAGGCGATTCCAGCATCACCGAAACAAGAGAAAGAGGAAACATGAAAAGCTCCAGGATGCGATTCCCATTGGAATGGCCATGGGTGGTGGCGATGGCGGTGACAATCCTAAATTTGTGGAAGCCATTCACAAGTTTGCTGAGTGGAAACATCACGAGGCCAAACGTCGTAAGAAACGTGGTATTCCATCCTGTCGAGAAGAGTTTGAGGAGAGACAAGGTTACGGAAGTGAGAATGTGCGAGATTTGAAGGAGCATGTTCGACAAACTCTGCGTGTTCCAGATCGTCCATCTCCTCCCGATGTCCCCTACAATATCTACAACTGTCCAGACATTCCTCCACGAAATTATCCATACACTTGGAATACCCTCAAGGTTTTGGGACATTGGAATCCCGATGACACCGAAATTCCACCAACGATTCATCAATCCCTGTGTGTCTTTGACTGGGAAACGGACCAAGACAAGGCACTCGCATATCGAGATATGCAGGTCCCCTTTGTCTTGCAAAATGTACCCGAAGTCATGAAGGCATCCATGCGATGGACGTCCAAAGGATACCTGGACAAATTGCTGGGAGATGAACCCATTCGAAACGAACACTCTCTCAACAATCATTTCATGTACTGGAAAACACGACATCCCCTACCCAACTTTGAACCACCCACTGAATTTGTCAAGTTAACCTATCCAGAATGGTACCAACGGGCACGGCACCTTGATGAAAAGTATGGCACAACCGAAACAAAGCTGGATCAAGTCAACAAGGAACACTGGTACTTTCGGCTCAATGCCATGCTCCAAGAGCATGGAATGGTCTATGAAGAGCTACCCTTTTTTGATCCCTCACTGGGAGAAACCATGACCATGGTCGATCCTACCCAACATCGGGGTATCAATTGTCGATTTGGAATGAAGGGGGTCATTGCCGAAACCCATTTTGATTCCTCCACCAATTTCATTGCCCTCATGGGAGGCCAGCGGCGATACATTCTTGCCCATCCGGATCAATGTATCAACATGGAACTGTACCCTCAACACCACCCCAGTGGAAGGCACTCCTCTGTCAACTGGTCCACCGCAGCCGAGGAGTTTGAGCATGTTGATCGGCCCTTTTCTCATGGACACGTGAATGAAGTTGTCCTGCAAGCTGGAGATCTCCTGTACCTTCCTACCTACTGGTTTCATTTCATTGTATCACTCAATATGAATTATCAATGCAATTCACGATCAGGAGTCTCCCATGAATATGATGGTTTCATTGCTGATTGCGGATTTGGGGCTTCCACAAAAGGAAAGTAGGGTCGACATCAATAGAAGCAACAAGAACGACACAACCACATTGGCGGTGGTTTAGTTTTAGGTTTTCACTGCTGTACCTTAGCTGCAAAGATACAGAGCGATGCCGTATGTAACTAGCTAGGAAACAAGTTTGGTAGTTTGAATTCTGTTGTGATGAGCTAGCTAGTAAGAGAGCTCACGAAGGTTATTTGGGGGATGTCCCGAGAGTTAGAACTTGTGTGGCGTCCTCTTGGTTGTTGCGAGTGTGCAATATTCGTATTTGCTATTTGCACGAACCTTGTCAGCCATTTTCCCCTTCGACACTAGACCTTCAGCTGTAGACTTGCCGTGAAGATTGGAGGCTATGGCTGGCTCTTCGTGCTGTGTTTTGGAAACAAATAAAGACGGGTTTTATCATGAGGCTCTTGGGCAGCTCCACAGCTCAGCTAGTTTTGAAGCAAGTTCTGGTGTGTTGCGTGACGGGCAAAAGCCACATTCTTGTCTGCTTTGGTTCTAATGAGTGTGTCGGATATGCGCTACATGTAACAGCTTGAACTGAGGCACTCGGTGAGCCAGCGTGCCATTTATTGTATGTAGGTCAGCAGCATTGGTACGGTAGATGACTGCACGCACTTACCACAGCCAGATTTCTAGCAAGCTAGATTATTTGATTGATTCTCGGAAGAGGTCATAAATTGCGTTCAGTTTTGTGGTAACAAGCATGAAGCAGTCGACAACGTGCTCTACAGAATCCAACAATGTTTGACAAGACTCCTTGGAAGATTGTACGGATGTTTACGAAACGAACTCAGTTAAAAAGCACTCATGTTGCTACCGCACTTCATACAGAGGGAGACTGTTTCTGACTTCGCAATTCCCGCCTTCACCTTCTTAGCCGGCAACTGCTGGACCATCGTTATCGTGCAACGGACTAGGAACCAGCAAAGGGAAAGGACAAAAGACAAGCAATCTGCCGCGACTAACGAGGGCACCTATCACTCCCACGATCCCTCGATGATGCGTTGAGGAAACTATTGTTAATTAAGACGACAATTCGGGAGACTTTGATTCACAGTTGAAGCATGATCACAAAGAACTCGTATGTTCCCCACCCTCCAACGTTCCGCACTCTTCCTCTCCAGCAAGAACTCCTCACAAATCAAAAAAGTGAACAAAGCAACGAACACCAGCAAGCCCAGACGACATAGATAAGAGACAATGATGGAACCAACAAAAATCGACGAAACCAACGAAAACACAGACACAAACGTAGCTGAGGCTCCGGAGGCAAGCAAAAACACCGAGACCAGCAGCGTTGAGGTCCCTAATGGTTCTCCGGAACAGAACGCAGCTGCGACATCTGCTGAGGATTCCAGCAGCGTTCCCAAGGATAACACCCGCCGCAATAGATTCCTGATTGGTTTTGCTTTCATTGCAATGCTGGCTACATGTATTACTGTGCCAATAGTATTATTGAACAAGCAGAACGAAGGACAACCCTCAAAGGATAAAGCAAGCGCTGCAAGCAACGTGAAATGTACAAAGGAATTGCACGTTTGCCCCAACGGTGAGACTGTAGGCAGGGATTTCGAAAACAACTGTAACTTCTTCCCATGCCCGGAATCCACAATCCCTGTACCATGCACTTTGGACGTCAAGCTTTGTCCAAACGGAGATACTGTCGGAAGAAGTGGGCCAGACTGTTCGTTTGATGAATGTCCCGAAGATCAAGTATTTTGTGCAATGGATTCCATGAGATGCAGTGATGGATCTTATGTCAGCCGTGACCCTTCCAACGACTGCCGATTCCACCAATGTCCAGAGGGAACTATCGTTCTTGCCTCTCGATCGGCCAACAACAACGATTACGCGACTAACAATGCTGTCACCAAAACTGCGGTCGCCAACACTGCCGCCGCCAAAACCGCAACTGCCAGAGCATCCGCATGTCCCTTGGATGTCCGGGTCTGCAGCGATGGATCATTCGTGCATCGAGTTCTACCCAGTTGCGACTTTGAATTGTGCCCCGAGGAAGTAGCATGCACATACGATGTCAAGGTTTGCAGAGACGGAATCACAACAGTGGGAAGGATCGGACCTGACTGCAAATTCGATCTGTGCCCAGAAGAACAAATTGGCTGCACAATGGATGCCAAGCGATGTGCTGATGGCTCCTATGTAGGCCGCACGCCACCAACCTGCAGCTTTGAACTGTGCCCCGAGGAACAGGCGTGTCCATCCGATGTTTCCTATTGCGCTGATGGCTCTTATGTGAACCGCGTCCCACCCTCCTGTGACTTTGCTCGCTGCCCCGAATAATAATTCGACAGCAAGCAGCCGCGGCGCCACCATGTCAGCAGAGCATGAAAAATCCTCCAATGTTCCGACACCAGCCAATGCAGAAGATGAGAAAGGAAACGAAAAAGTAAATAGATGTACCTACTCCTAGAAAAAGATAAGAGATAGAGAAACGATAGAGTGAAATTGACCAAGGTTGCACGGCAGCGAATGCAGGAGAAAGCGCTCTTGATAGTCCGCAACGAGCTGATGCCGAATGATTCGAATCGGCAGACGAAGCTGTTACCAGTACTACCGTAGGCAGCATGAATTTTGCTCAGTGCTGGTCTTAGGGAATGATGATTGGGTCAATTTACCACATGCCTCAACAGACAGTGATGATGCCTTAATAGCCACCGGTAGCGGCTGCTCAAACTGGAGCGCGAATTCTCTCCTTGAATTTTCCACGTCGCACGCCCGCACCTCTCTTCATGTGGCAAAATTTTGAGCCGAAACTGAAGCTCGTGGATGACTGCTCTGCGGTAGCTGATTGATTCATTGGCTAGCTAAAACCTTTGGCTTCGATTAAACACGAAACTTGAGAGTGGTGGAAGCCAAAGGTTGCTACGATGACAGTGCTATCATCGAAAACCATCGAGGGAAGTTTGGTGTTCAAGTCGTTGTTGTTCCTGTCGAGCATGTTGTTCATGGTGTCATTGGTCTTGTACTCAGGACTACAACGGATTGACGACGATGACATTGTGTCCAGCGAAACTCGAATCAAATCACCTTATTGGTCAGAAAAAGAGATCCAAAAACCGACGACGAAGGGCAAGACAACACCATGGTCCGACCACAGCGGGAAACAGAAAAGGATACGAAACCGACAACAAACCCGAGACAAGAGGATGGAAGCCATTCAGCAATTTGGAGCACATCGTGAGGAAGAAAAGAGGACAAGAATCAAAGAGGGCATAGTATCGGTGCGAGAACAGTTTGAGCAAAAGCATCCATGGTCCGACAAAGCTCGTGTGCGACAAGCCGTCTTCGATCAACGAATCCCAAACCTTCTTACAACATATGACGTCTACGACTGTCCTGATCTTCCACCGCCCAGCTATCCTTTCACATGGAATTTGATGGAGATATTGGAGAACTGGAATGCTGGAAACACGACACTACCCTCTCGAATATTCCAAGCGCTGTGTGTTTTTGATTGGGAGACTGAAGAACACAAGGCTCGAAACTATCAACAACAAGATTTGCCCTTTGTGGTTCAGAACTTTCCAGAAGCAATGCGGGCGACCGAACGATGGTCCACTCCAGGATACATGGAAGAGCTATTGACAAGGAATAGTGCATCTCAACAGCAAGCGACAACAAGAACACGAACAAGTGATGAATTGACACCACTGTACACAAGGTGGCTAAAGGCTGCAACAGAGCTGGGTCAACGGCAACCGCACAACGGAGAGGATGAAAAACCATGGTATTTTCGCTTGAGTGCCATGCTGGAAGAGACAGCTTACCTGTACGAGGAACTTCCATTCTTCGACCCATCCCTGGGTGAGACCTTCACAATGCTTTCACCGAAGGAACATCGTGGTATCAACTGCAGGTTTGTATTGGTTGTCACTGCGACCTTGAGTTGTCGCCACTCCGGATCGAGTGTCTGATATCATACCAGTATCCAAATCTAATCTTGCCCGCTCGATAAAACACACAACACTCTGTTACAGGTTTGGTATGAAGGGAATTGCGGCAGAGTCACATTTTGACGGACACAACAACTTCATAGTTGTGATGGGCGGAATGCGCCGGTAAGCCCCAACAGTTAGGTTCCTTGTTGCTGTAGATTGTTGCCTGCTCACACTGGCCGAGAATGGTTCTGGTATTTGGTTGATTGTTTTGGATTCTTGTATCTGTCATCTTGGGGCTCTACCACAGATACATTCTGGTAAGTACCAGGTAGAGTGACTGAGATGGTGCATGTCTGCTATTCTAGTCGTTCGATCTAATTGTGGACTTGCCTTTGCACCTTCGCAGGCACACCCTGACCAATGTAATAACATGGAGTTGCATCCGAAGGGGAAACCAAACTCGAGGCACTCCAAAGTGGATTGGACACGAATACACCTCGAAGCCAAAGCATCGTCGGAGAAGCGACCTATTACAAGAGTCCAGGCGAACGAAATCATCTTGAAGGCCGGGGACATGTTGTACTTGCCTACCTATTGGTTTCACTATATCGTGTCCTTGGATACAAGCTACCAATGCAATTCCAGATCAGGCATTTCTACTGAGAACAAGCACCACATTGTAGATTGTGGTTTCTGACTTGACTCGACTCGAGTCCGTATAAGATCATCTGGGGAGACAAAACTGTGGGATGCATGGGAAAAAGGCCAATCCATATTTTAAATTTGGTTCAGTTTTTGTCATTTATTCCTCCAATTGAATGGACTTTCCAAAGCGCCCATAGAGAATCTTTTTCAATGCATCCTGTTTTTCTAGTATCTCCGATTCCTGTATCTCCAAGGTTTGGATTTTCTCTTGGTGTTTTTCCACGGTATCTTCACAATAGGTTGTTGCTTCCTCCTCGCTGGTTTCAAAAAAGGCGCCCCCCATGAACAGCAGTACCTTGCCCGCATCCGCCATCATGATTTCCGTAGAGGCATCATCGATTCGTTCCAGTTCGTTCTGCAAAAAATCAAATCAAAGCACGCGCATAGTGAGTGACAATACTTTACACGATAAAGACAGAGGTATCATTACTTGCGAATGAAAAATTCCATTCTTTTCAGTCTACCTTTAGAGAATCTCGTTCTGCTCTCACTTCATGAAGCTTGGCATTCAACCGAGCAAACTTGTTGATATTTTCCTGATCCTCTCGTCGGACTTCAGCTTCGTTCTCTTCTTCAGGAGCTAACATGGTTTGTAGTTCGTACCGGTAGCGTTTGGTTGCGAGGGTTGAGAGGGAAATTGGCTGTAGCTGTTATAGTGGTTGGCTTGAAAGGCTTGATTGGCTTGAAGCAATCAAGCAGCAGAGCGGATTGACCTCGAAACCACCTGCTATGCCTCGACCTGGATCTCACGTGTACACTGTACCGGTACAGCTGCTTCCATCATCTTCGAAATTCCAAAAGATACCTTTTACCACGTACCGGTACAGCTGTACATGTACCGGTACCGAACTGGCATGTTCATTCACGGATTGTACTGTTTATCTCAAAGTAACGATCAAGACGTGGGAATGCTATCTCTTCAAGTCTCATCAGCGACAGGGAAGATACTCTAATCTTGACAGTCAATCGATAGCATCTCAAGCAAAACGGTCCGGCCTGGTTCCGCATCCAGCAGTTTGCATTCTGCATTCTGCCCAAGCAAGGTGGTGTACCAGTACCAAAACATCAAGCAACAAAATCCACAATCTGTGCTGTTTGGCCGAGCGATACCTTTACCGTACGGTAGACTGTAAAGCACTCGTTCGATCCTTCCCAGGAGGGTTCCCCCTTCCAAAAGCTGTGCGATCAGGTCTTCTCACTTCTCAAGAGAATCTCACACAAATTCGAAACTGCCCCAAACAAAAGAAGATACCTCACCAAAAAAGATTTCAACGATGTTTGGCGTTGCCATGAGGAAGCTTCTCCTGGTTCCACTATTGATGGGTGTTTTCCCTATTACAAGCACTGATGCCAAGACGTGCTTGATGATGTACCAGTTGGCTGATAACAACTTGGAATTCTTCATTCGCCAGGATTACGCCGAGTTGGCATCGTCTGCTGTGATTCGTAGTGAAGATTTGCGAGTTTGGGTATACTATGTATGTTGATATGATCACTTGCTAGTGTTCTATTCTTTACTTTTTTGATTCATTTCTTGTATTCTTACATTATTTTCTCTCTTCACTTTTGCCGGTTATCTCAGGATGCCTTTTCTGGAACTGCTCTTCCCTCCACAGTGGACGAAAATGGAAATCCCGTTGGAGCCTTCACGGGAAGTCGCTACATTACTTTTGACAGATCCATCGGACAAATGAGAGTGGTCCGGACCTTTGACTCGGAAATTAACTCTGATTCACCCGATACCATCCGGGAGTATTTGGAAACTGCCTTGACCGATTGCCTGGACAATGGATTCGACAGTCTGATGGCGGTCTTTTCATCTCATGCCGGTGGATTCTTTGGCTACGGTGGAGATGAACACCCAGCGATGCGCAGGCTGCAGCCTCAGACCAATCAAAACGTTGCTCGTGCCATTAGGGATGCCTTGGACAATGCTGCTGGAGGGCGCAAACTCGATGTCCTTGGATTCGATGCCTGCAATATGCTTGCCTTTGGAGCAGGTACGGTTTATTTATTTTGGTTGTGGCTCGCTACGGTACTGGCGCGCGTCTTTCTCATCACAAATTCTGCATGCTTTTCACAAAATCCACTCGCTCAGCTGATGACTATGGAGAGGCTGATGTTGCAACATACTTGTTGGCCAGTGAAGGATTGGAACCAGGACATGGTTGGGCCTACCAGTTCCTCAGAAGTGCTCCTGATGCTTTGACTCTAGCAACAGAAATCGTTGCTACCTTTGTGAGCCGAACCCAAGGCAGCAACTTCCACCAGACACCAAAAACGTTGGCCATTCTGGATCTCCAAAAGTTCTTTGTCTTTTTAGATGCTTTTGAGGACTTTCTTGGAAGGCTCCTTCCAGTTTTGCAAGCAGGCGATGTAACACTCCATGCTTCGGTGGCCAGATCCAGGACGAGTGCTGTCTCCTATGAAGGGATTTTAGATTCCATCGGTGCCATTCAGCCCACGAGTCTGGACATTGGGAGTTGGATGGCCATTCTGGCCCAACTTTGCAATCCTGGGGGTGATCTTGGTACAAGTTTTCAATCCGCACGAGACACTTATGCCGACATGTTTTACTACTTGAGTACTGGTCCGGGTACTCCCGTTGGCACAGGGATGCATGTCCTCTGGCCCAACCAGCAGGTCTACTTTACGCAAAAGCCAACCTTTGATACGATCCTTTTCAGCGACTCCAGGTATTCCACTCTCGCTGCTCCCAACTTTCGAGCCTTTTTGCAGTGGTTCCTTGAAAACAACAACCCTGGTACTGGGGGAACAGACACCGTTTGTGGTGGTCCTTCTGCAGTTCCCGTTGTTGAAATGCCAGACCCCAACGTCCTCATCTATGGTGATACAGGCACCCTCAACCTGGAGACTGAACTATTTGAAGTCAATGCCGAAATTGGACCTTTGGTCGATCAGATGGTGATTGAGTATGCAATCGACCTCAGTACTCCCCTCAAGCCCGTGCTTGAATCCCGTGGCTACACACCTAACAGTACAGAATACTTGTACCTCAAAGGTGGCGATTTGATTGGCGAATACTCTGGGTCCAACTTTACCACTTCCTGGGATCAAAACTTCTACTTTCTGAACATCAGTGGCATTGATCAGTTTGAGGCACTCTATGTTTCTGACGGAGGTGATGGTTCCAAACGTGTTCATGCTATGTATTTCCCAGAAGACAAGCGTGAAGAAGTCTCTCGGTTGGGCTTTTTAGACTACCTATTCTTTGACTTTGAATACTGGGCGGATCAGGGTGCAGTCTTCAGCTATTTGCTTTTCTCTGTCAACGAAACAGAAGGACGAATCAACGACAACCTTTCACTCTTCATCAATGATGGAAATACATACTTCGAGCAGCCAAGGGAAAATGGTGGTATGCTCATGCCAATGGTGTACATTGATGCTTTTATCCAAGATCGTAATCTTACAGTTCTTCCCGGAGGCTTCAACCAGACTGTCATTGACTGGTCCACAGAACTGAACTACAATATTCTCACAACCAACACGTCTTCTGTCTTTCGTGTGATCCCTGCCACCGATGCTGTGATGGTTAATGTATATGCATTTGACCACGGAAACCAGGAAAGAGGACCAGAGATCCGCCGCTACGATGTCTACCGCCCCACCCGTTCTGCTTCAACGGGCAGCCAACCAGGAGCCGAAGAGGCCGGAGGGGACAGCCAACTTGGGGCCGAGGCGGGAGGAGAGAGCGCTGGTGCTTCCGGCAGCATGCTTCATCATCTCACAAATGCTCTTCTTTTGCTGGTAGTGGGCCTTTTTGCTGCAATCTGATAGCCAGCAGGTCGGGCGATATGGGCACGAAGCGAACTCGCGATGGTACTGTAGCACAACTAAAGAATCGATCTAAAGTTATTTCACTAGTAGCTTGTTTGGTTTCTGTTTCCAGCTATCTGGCGGATCATGTATTTAAGTATGGCATACAGAGTGAGGCTCCACGATCATACTTCGCAGAATGACTCAGTGTTCCAACTAAAACCGAAACAGGATGCGGAAAGAGTACGGCAGCGTCTTGGCCTGGCTGTTGTGGTGGCTGTTACAGAAGCGGTAGTACCTGGTGCCACTTTCGCGCTTTGTTTTGGTTTTGGTTACATGTATGTAGAAGGCCCTTTTTAAGTCCCACGCACGAGGCGATCCCTTTTTGTACTTTTATGTCAAACGAAGGAGTTGGAGCGCCTCCGCCATGAACGAGCATCAAATCTTTACAGGCATTTCGAAAGATACGACCCCAGGGATGTGGACTACTGGTACAACTAACTACGAACCCCGTATCCAACTTAGTCGCTCTGCAGCTACGGATGCTTCGCCTTCCAGCGACTTTCCTGTAGTTCTCACCCCATCCGAGGAACGAGGTGATCTCCTTATCCGTGGCCTCTGGCAACGCGGAACTGACGGCATAATTGATGTTCGTGTCATCAATCTTGATGCTGCTTCTCACTGTCGCAAGGATCCTGACAAGGTCCTTCGCAATGGCGAACGTGACAAGAAACGCAAGTATCTCGACGCCTGTCTTTCCCAACGCGCCACTTTACTCCGTTTGTTGTTCTGTGATGGTCTCCTTGGGGCGAAGCTGAGGCATCGCAAACGTATTTCCCTTTGCTCTGCATGGGACGCCTTACTCAGTGGTGCGTGGCTACGTTAATGCTCGGCTCAGCCTAGCTATTCTTCGGGCCCGCCACCTCTGCATGCGTGCTCTCGTGTCCCTGCTGGCATGAGCTACCGTCGTTCTTCTGGGATGCCGATGGTGCCTTGCACTCTTCCGCTAATTTTGCTCCCTTGTCCTTCTGGTTTTCCTCCATGCACCCCCTTCCCTGCCCCCCTTGTTTTGCCCTGCTCGCGTCCTCATTGCTCTCCCCGTATGCCCACCACACCAGCCACGGGTAGCGTGATTTGTCCCTCAAAATTTTCACTTAGGCTAAGTGCCCGAAAATCAACTTAGGCTAAGTAAAACACTTAGCCTAAGCAATATACTTAGGCTAAGCGAAACACTTAGGCTAAGCAATACACTTAGCTAAGCAAATACTTAGGCTAAGCAAACCTTAGCTAAGCAAAACTTAGGCTAAGCCATACTAATCAATTCACTTAGGCTAAGCGAAACACTTAGGCTAGTGATGCTCTCCGAGGCAGCTCCTCAACAGCAGAAGTCTCAAGTATCCTCAACAGCACAAGACAACAAGTCCCTGCAGCAAGCACACACACAGACACAAGGAGACACTATCACCCATCATGCCCCCACTTTCAGCTTCATGTGCACTGCTCAAAGAGCTTCACAAGAAAGAGTTTAATTGGGTTACAACAGAGATTCGAATTCAGGTTGCAACTTCCCTGGAGGATGACACCACTCATACTATTAATCTGGCTTCCACCCTTGGCTATGGTGTGAATAATCCAAAAAACCCAGACGACAGCACAGTCTATTGGCTGCCCAAAGAATTCAACCAAAACTCAAGCATATGGCGCGAAACTATGCTTGGCCCACATTTTGTCAAAGCATGTCGTGAGCAAGGATTCCTTATAGTGATGAAAGGGTATGAGAAAAAACGCCACGACACCAAATTTGTATGTGCTCGTTTTAGATACCACAAAGACTTGTCTACTGGTATTGCTGCTGTTTCAAAATTCCACCAAGCAATCACGACGCAGCAAAAAGAAAGTTGATGAAGGAACGATTCACAAAACATCACGTCCCATCAAAGGTGACGACGAGAAATGTCCTTTCTATTTCAATGTCTATTGGTCTTCCCAGCATAATCGATGGTACCTTCCTAAGCTGCAACGTGGTTGCAAACACCATGCTGGGCACAACCAGAAATACTCTCCAGATCAAGTTCGAGTTCTTTCCACTGCTATTGGATCAAATGCATTGGAACTAAGTCAACAAATGGCAGAGGAATTCATTAGACCCCCCCAAGCAAAAGGGATCATTCGACGTCGTACAGGCATTGATTTAGAAAGCTATCAGCTCCGACATCTCAACAAGAAAAATGAGGATTTGATGATGAATATCAAAGCACTCGCAAAAGATACAAACTATGATCCCAACTACATACAAACCCCTGCCGATCGATTGCTACAAAACCTGGAAAACGATCCTACAGTATCGTTTACTGTTTTGTTTGCCGACTATGACACCAACCTTCTTACCATACGGCAGAGAAGGAAAAGTCAAAATGTCGTCACAACAACTGACGTTAATCCAAACGACGTTAAAGATGATGCTGATTCCGCTGAACAATTCGCAGCCTCAGTTAGGGATTCTCTTTCTATCACCGGTTCTGGGCAGATTCTCTTAGCTGTGGCTTTCACAACGGACAACGCCAGAAGGAAATTTGAGATGTTTCCTGAAGTGGCTACCGCTGATGTTACACACGGTACCAATGCCGAGAAGAGACCTTTACTTATGTACGTCTCAATTGATTCTTGGAATAAAACGTTTCCAAATACGTGCATTTACCTACCAGCTGAAAGTCGCTGGGCTTGCAGTTATGCCTTTGGTGTGGCTATTCCCTCATTGCATAGCTCCAAAGCACTTGCTGGGAATCAGGTCACCATTACAGATGAGGACCAGCAGGAGTATGGTGCCTTTTTATATTGACATATCTCAGAGGCAGAGTTTTCCCAGTGCCTTTGAAAAAATGAAATCTGACAGATTATGAGCTGAGAAGCTGCCACGAAAAGCATCACTTAGGCTAAGTGATTCACTTAGGCTAAGTGATTCACTTAGCCTAAGTAATTCACTTAGGCTAAGTGAATCAAATGTGACTGACTACCTGGTAAATCAAATAAGACTGAATTTCACTTAGGCTAAGTGGCTCACTTAGCCTAAGTAAATCAAACTGAATCACTTAGCCTAAGTGAAAATTCAATCACTTAGCCTAAGTGAAAATTTGTGAGGGACAAATCACGCTACCCCCGCAGCCACTGCTTTGCCTAGCCTCGCCCCCCTCGCTCCTTAACGTATCTATTTAGTCTTTATTTATCACCACTATTGTGTGGTTTTGTGTTCTCTCATAGTCACTTGTCGGAACCGATGAATTGTTGGGGAGGCCTGACTCTTTCTTTGATCCAACTTCTTAGACCTCCAAGTTGAGTTATCTGAATCTTTTGCCATACTTAGATGACACCAATGCTTCCCGTCGTAGGGAATTGCAGGGTTTATCCGACGACGACACCACGCATCGTGGGGTTGTTCTCTTGCTTGCCTCACAATCTTGGTTTCTTAGCCGACCGCCTCCTCATCGCTCGAAACGCTACCTCGACCAGTTGCTACAAAAGGGACCATGAAACTCGTCTATTGCCTCTCGCTTCTTTTCGCTTCGGCGGTATGCTCCGTGTCGGCTGCTGGAGTTGATCGCGAGCTACAGCTTCCTGACTTCAGCGTGACAGTCACAGGAGTTTCAGGACAGAGTATTTCGTTCGACACGGGAGAAGGAGGAGGTTCGAAACCAAACATCAAGATTCGAGTGGCGGACCTGTGCCGAAATGAATCCCCTCAGCGCGCTGAGGTTGGCTACCTCTTTCCTGGCTCATCGGTGCCTGGAATTCAATCAAATACTTCAGGAGTTGTAAACAATCCTGGCGCTGGAAACACTATATCCTTCAGTTTTCTGGAAGGGATCAGTCAAAACTATCACATCTACACAGCGGCGAGCGGAAACACCGCAACTGTGTCGTTTTGTGTGGAGATTGGGATGTATGCTGAAACTATGCTGGTGGACTTTGAAGAGGTCAAGGTAACCTACAACGTCAATTTAGCCACGAAGGCTGGTACCTTGACGAGCCATACCCCTTAATCCGCCATCATTTTACTTTCAGTCAGTTGAGGCCGCAAAGAGCAAAAGTGAAAAAAGGAGGATGTCCCATTCTTTGCTTTTTGTTCTATACTTTTAAACCTGCATAGTCTACTAATAATTCGAAGCCTGAAAATCCAAGCATTTCTTAGTCTGCATCAGGCCTAGAGCTAGTTTGTGGCCTGGTTGATTCCATTCTGAAAACGCGATTCATGCTTCCTTGGGGTGGCGGTTCTTGCCAGGTCCAATAACCTGGAAAGGAGTGTTGGGATCAATCTGCTGCAAGCTATCTTGAAGCATTCCATCCGCAATGCCCTGATCTGTCACTGCCAAGTAGTTTTCTTCTACAGCTTTGAACTCCACATCCGTTGGCTTTTCAACGAGAACATCGTAGAGAGAATAGATTGTGTGGCATTGTGGGAAGTCTTCATGATCGCCATTTTGTTTGTACTCGTCTGGACATTCCATGACTTTGACTTCGTAGAGATCGGCACTGTCAATGATGCCACCAAGTCTTCGACGATCCAATCCACCGCAGAGTTTGCGGCGCAAACGATCCCAGTCTCCGCAGAGGCGACGGCTGTGAGTGGAGTTCCAAGACTGAGTTTTGTTTTCAGGGCAAGGGATTCCAATGTCACAAACAGTGTCCATGAGATCACGGACAAAGTCGACAAAGGATGCATAAAGAACACTATCTTGTCCGATATCCAAGTCATCTTCTGCGAGACTCTGATTGTTGTATAGAACGAATGAGGAATGCACAGATACCATTGCAGTGTCCATGTCGTCTTCTTCCTCTTCTACTGAGCTGTCATCTTCTTCCTCTTCTGAACTGTCATCTTCTTCCTCTTCTTCAGACTCTTCCTCTGTGAGAAACTCCACCGCCATTTGAACGGGCTGGCAGTTTTTGTTCAGTGTAGCAGATTGATTGCTGTCGTCAGTCCATGTTGTGCAACCAAAGACAACGTCCACACGGCTTTGTTCAGTAAGGTACTTACAGCATGAGTTTGAGGTCCCAGCTTTGCCAACCCTTCGCCAGCAAGTCAAAATAAGAGATCAATTTGACTTAGTCATCGTTACGACAATGTAATGCAAACAGTCTATCAAGATTTTGCGATGTTCTTTCTGCATGTTTGCCCACCGTACCTTTCATTACGATCTGACAAACAGTTTTTAGCTGATTAGTTCGATCTTGACTGATGAAAGCAAGTTTCATGGTTGAAGCACCATATATGTTGATTGCATTATCATCTTCTCCAGCTCCACTTTCCAATATGAGATACTTATATAGTTGTCCAAGGTCCCTCGGAAGTTCATCGTCGTACAAGATGGAGTCATCAAACATTTCCACTGATAGTTGTTTGATAAAGGGCTGGTACTCGGACCTTGTGAGCAAGTCGTTACCATCTTTGTTTGCCTTCTCAATAGATCGAATGCACATGTAGAACCGTTCTTGCTTCTTTTGACTTTCTGTCTTGGGACCTGGCTGAGCATAAACCTGGACGGCCAAGAAGAATGTTGTTGCCAGAAGCTTCATCATGGTTCATTCTTTTTTGAATAACAAAGCAAATGTTTGCTGCAATGATGAAGTACTGTCACCTTGCAATGCGGACTAAAGGCGGCATGTGTTCACGGGTGTTGAATTGTTCCCTGTCCTCTGGGAGACTTCCAGTTATCCCAATGACACAGGGAAGTGAACAAAAGCAACCAGTGTGCATCTCGAGCCTTCAAAACTTGCAAACCTTCCACTCGCGACTCGACTCGAGTCACTGGTCGCCAGACTGGGGGGCGGGTTACCAGGTGGTACACGTGTACCCACATGTCTTTTTTTCTTTCATTCACGGTCAGTCACAGTTACGAGTACAGTAGTTGGCGCCATGGCTTTGGCTGTGGGGTCTCTACCGGTAAGTACGAAAATGACCTGTGGTAGCGATTTATGACTATCCAGTTACCAGATTACTAGAAATCAACCACAACAACCAAGTAGTAAACACACACAACACTATAGCAACCTCTTTATCAACACCACCACCATCAGCCTTTTTCGGCTTATCAGGCGTGGTAGCTTGTGATCTATCGAAGCAACGAAGCAACGAAGCGGTCGTACCTCATTGTCGGCCGTTCGACAAGCACAAGAAGAAGAGCTACCGTTCGTTCGAGGCGCGGAAGCTACTACGGAAGCTACTACCACAGCGCCGTTCGCTCATTCGAACGCCACTGTCGAAGCTACCTTTCGGCCGTTCGAACAACTACCGTTCGACGAGCGCCATTGTCGAGAAGATAGAGAAGAAGAAGAAGGAGTTCGTTAATCGTTCGAACGCCATTGTCGACGCTACCGTTCGACGCTACCGTTCGACGTTCGACGTGAAGATACCGTTCGTTCATTCGAAGCAGCGCCATTGTCGCCGATTCGAAGCTACCGTTTTGGAGCTACAGTTCGAACGACGAAGAGAAGAAGAAGAGAAGACCTCCAAGCGGCATAGCAACAGAAGACCTCTCAAGAAGAAGGGGCTCTCTCAAGTGGAGCGAGAGATAGAGACTTCCAAGTGGGAAGCAGAGGTTTGGACTTGGAATATTGATCCCTCCAGTCTGGATCAATTCCTGCCTCATTGTCACCAAAGAAATCGATTGAGCCAAAGGAGAGGGGACGCCTGATCCAAGAGTTTTGGCCTAGACTGCCACAGACTGGGTGTGCAGAGCTCATTCCGTGGAATACAGCCTTACTTGTCTGGGTGTGTACAGTTTGCTGTTGGAATAGGAGCAGAGAAGAAGACCCAACAACTGTTGCTCATCCAAGTGATACCGCAAGAGAAGAAGTAATTGGAGGCGAATATGGCAGGCAATCTTGCAGCCATGAACAACTATCTACAGAATACCATCGGTATTGCCGAATTAGCCACGAGGACAGCATTGAATGATCAAGGATTGGATGCCTTCGTTTCACTCGATACCTTTACCGATGCTGATATCAAGAGCATCTGCGAGAACGTGAGGAAACCAGGTGGTACCATTCCCAATCCAGCCATTGCGGCTGCAGCCACTGCCGAAGCTGCCGCAGCAGTTCAGCCCAGAGAAGTTCCCAACCGTGGACGACAGCTGGGATTTGTCTTTGAGAAGCGACTCAGACAACTACGGTTCTACAAGTTTCATATGACACGAATCCAGCGTGAGTTCACTCCCAACCAAGCCAGTTTGGCGAGATTGAATAGAGTTTGGGCTTTATACGAGTCCGAACGAGAAGAGATCGATGTTGCGGATCCTCCCCAACTCTTGAAGGTCGAAGATGTCCGACGAGTTCTGGAGTCTATTGACAATGTTCTGAATGTCAAGCGAGGCTTTGCGGTGCCCCTCTGGCTTATTTACGAGATCCAAATGCAATACACGGCTCTTAGCCTTATTCGCGATCGATCCTAGATAGGGTTTGAGTTCGACTCATGACTGAGTCTCTCGTGAATAGTCATTTGAGACAGGGTTCTCAATGACCGCGCTAGTCATACTAGGTTGATGATGAAACATCGCTCTAGATATTTAGCCAGCGTGGAGTACCCACGTTCTAGATCCAGGCTAGACAAACCTTCCACGCGTTCCGTTTAGGATCGTGGAGAGACGTAGGACTTACTACCACAACCTACTCTATCACACTTTATAGTCTCCCGCGGGAAGCCAGAATCTACGATCCTTTGATGATGATCTCTCTCGTTGATTAGTTTTCATAGCTTTCTAATCTCTCTCTCATAATTCATTCTCTCAAACTTCAAAACATCGAAAGACTTTACACTAGCTTTTAGCGTAGTGCATTTTGTTAAAAACACAATAGCGTTCAGCTACCCTCAACCTATTCCTTCACCATGAAGATGGCTCAAGGAAAGCATGCGTTCCGCAACTTTGAAAAACAGTTGAGTGACAAACCATTCTTCTCTCGTCGAAATGACGAAGAACCGAGACGACGATACTCGTGACACACTTGCAAATTCGCAACTGTTGCAAGCGCAATCAGAGACTCTGACAATGGGACAACGTCCCTATATTTCAATACTTGGATGGAGAAATTCTATCTGAGGATTAGGCCAGATGATGACTCAACCGAACCCTGTTCCGATTTCTCATACAAAGTGAAAAGATATCTCACTAACTATAGTAAACAAGAATTGTTTGCAACTGATGAAACTACGTAATTAGATTATGCTAGAGCTGCTCAACCTGACTCGATGATCTATTTAGCATCGTTAACCTTCCGTGGCAACCACTCGTTAAAACGTCGCAAGACAAGAGACTCAAACCCATCGTTATGTTAGATTTAAACAAGCGAGAAAAAGGGAACAAACCCGTTACACTCCGTTGCTTGCTGGATACAGAGCATCCGGGACCTTGATTGCTAACTCATGCTAGAAATACGTACTGAAGGATCTTGGGGGCGTCCAACAGAATGTGGACTACCCCTGCAGGAAATTAAACACCAGCACGAAGTGCAAAGGTGCATTCATGATTCCTGAATTCCACGAAGATAGAATTATCAGATGGACTTACACGTCACAGAAAGCAGTTTGGGGGCGTATGACATGACATTAGGTTCGAGATATTCTCTCTGACTATAGGTTTCAAGTTCGATTTCATTACCATGTCAGTGGAATTGGGACGGCGCTCTATTTCTATGAAAGACATGACAACAATGAAGAAGAAAACTTTTTATTCCTGATCCTACGCGCTATTCGATGACAGTGCAGACGTCTCAAGAAATTCTTGATGCGATCATACGAACAACTGACATTAAGCAGGTCTGCCAAAGTAAGATTCTAGTTAAACACGGAATGAGAAGGAACAGCTTCATCCTTAACTGACGAAGTACTTGACCTATTCGATGGTACTTGGGAAAGTGGCAGATGGACGACTACGAAGTAGAATTTCCTGAATGCTAAATCCCTATCATTGCAAAGGGCTCCTATTCCACGGGTCCATACCATACATTCTTAAGATGGAGGTTGAATCGTCTCTGCGAGGCAGGGAGTACTCAAGAAGGTAAAACCGTTACCGAGTGGGCGGCACAACAATTTTCAATCATTCCCAAGAAAGACGGATCTGTACGATTAATCTATGATTTCCCGGGAACATGAACAAAAGGATTAAGCAGGAACACCTTATCCTATCCCAAAAATACAGGACATGCTTTGAAACCAGACGGATTCAATACGCTATTAGTCTAGACCTGAACATGGAATACTATCCACATCGAAGCTGTCACCTCACTCCGAAGCAACTCCTTTAATCGTACTC